TCCTAACGTGGATGAGAGTCCTAATGTGGATGAGAGTCCTAACGTGGATGAGAGTCCTAATGTGGATGAGAGTCCTAACGTGGATGAGAGGCCCAACGTGGATGAGAGGCCTAACGTGGGAGAATCCCAACGTGGATGAGAGGCCTAACATTGTCATCCTTGCAGCTTGAAAGAAGTCGTGGGCCAAGGAATGTAGGAAGTTTCTGGAAACTGGAAAACACAAAGAAATGAGCCCAGCCTAGACCCTCCAGAAAGGAACCTACCAAGCCCTGATTTTGGCTAAGGGAGACCTGCTTCAGACTTCTTAATTCTAGAACGTAAGTATAATAAATGAGTTATTTTAAGCTGCTAAACAAGAGGTCATTTCTTACAGTAGCAACAACAACCTAAAACAGTTATAATTAACAGAGTCTGCACTATTGTCAATGATTCAGGACAAATGACATAGTTTTACTGTTAAATAAATTGTAAGAGAAGAAAGTACAATAGAGAGGATGAGAAAAAGAGTAACATACATTTAAAAAATAACAAAACCACAACCATTGAGTTGATTCTGAATCATAGTGATGCTATAGGACAGAACAGAACTGCCCCTTAGGAGCCCCTATGAGTTTCTAAAACTGTAATTTTAAAACGGTTCTAAAACAGACTCATTTATCTCCTGCAGAGCTGCCAGTAGGTTTGAACCACTGACCTTGCAGTTAGCAGCTCTAAACCTTAACATGCCAGCCAATTGCAAATGGTTGATCTGAATTGGATTCTGATTTGAAGAAGCAAACTTTTATTTTATAATACGAGGAAAGCAAAACAAAACAAATAAGGAAAAACAAACCTGCACACACTTTAATGAGACAACGTAAAAATTTGAGAACAGTATACAGTAACACTAAAACAGTATTAACATTTTTAGGTGTGGCAATGGCATTGTAGTTGTTTCCAAACTGATTACTGTTTAGAAAAGTACACAGTGATATTTATCAATAAGGTTTGGTCTCTGATTTGCCTCTGAGGATTCTGGGGATGGCAGCTGGGTTCTCGGTGAGGGAGGTAGGACGTAGAGGATTGGGATTGGCCATAAACTGATTGTCGCTGATGCTGAGTGAATGGGCACTGGCAGGAAGTGGCGGTGTGATTCCCACTCATTCTCTCCCTCTCTTCTGAGATAAGCTACACCAGTGGTTCTCAACCTTGCTAATGTTGGGACCCTTTAATACAGTTCATGTTGTGGTGACCCCCAACCATAAAATTATTTTAGTTGCTACTTCATCACTGTAATTTTGCTACTGTTATGAATCAGGCGACCCCTGTGAAAGGGTCATTCTACCCCCAAAGGGGTCGCAACCCACAGATTGAGAACTGCTCAGCTACACTGTGACAAGGCTGACAGGATGCTTCTGGAAAATGACTACCAGTGTTGAAATCCCAGCTCATTATTTGATCACTGTGTGACCTTGGGAAAGTTCCCCAACCTCTCTGTGCTTTATTTCACTCTTCCTCAAAATAGGTTTCATGTGAGTGTCTCTTTTAGGACTATATAGAGATACCATGAAGACAATATACATAATAAACTAGGTTAGTTATAAAAATCATTATTATCCTAGCTATTGTTGAGGTGTTCAGTTTATCGAGGACTCTCACCCCTTATTGATACAGGAAGACATTTATCATAGAACTCTCTCTTTTATGGGATGAATGTGATAACAAAATGGCAATAGATAGAAAAGTGATAGGAAGAAATTGAAAGTGTTAATCATTGTACGGCTGTTTTCTTCTTCCTACACCTGTGAGCAAGGAGGCCTTGTGACACTGTCAAGTAGGTGCTGGGCAGCTGAATGCAAGGTCGGCAGTTCACCGCCCTGGGCTGCTCAGCGGGACAGAGATGAGAACCTGGGCTCCTGTGAAGACCCACAGCCTTGCAAACCCTACGCAGGGTCACTCTGAGGCAGGAGCGACTCAGGGGCAGCGGGTTTGTTGGTTTATATCCCTTGGAAGTGGTAGAAGTCAATAAAAAGTAGGTGTAAGATATGACAAAATAATGATAATTTATAAATTATCAAGGGTTCATGGGGGAGGAGGGAGCAGAGATAGAGGGGATAAATGAGGAGCTGATACCATGGGCTCAAGTAGAAAGCAAATGTTTTGAGAAGGATGAGGGAAACAAATCTACAAATGTGCCTGACACAATGGATGGATGTATGCATTGTGAGTTGTATGAGCCCCCAATAAAATGATTTTAAAAAAAAGTAGGCAATCTCAAAGCATTTCTCCTGACTTGGAATTAATGTGTCTGGATGGGGGGTGGGGGTGGACAAAGGCATTCAGATGGTGTACTGGGTTATGGGTTGAGTTGCCAACTCAAAGGTGTGCAGTTCCTACCCACCAGCCCCTTCGAGTGAGAAACATGAGGCTTTCTATTTCCGGCGCGATTCACAAGCTCGGGGGCCCACAGGGGCAGTTCTACTCTGCCCTGTAGGGTTGCCACGAGTCACACTTGACTGAATGGCCGTGAGTTTGGCTTTGGTTGCCTTGAGGGAAGGGAAACAGCCTTGCACAGGCGTGAAGGGCACGCACGCTCTGCTGTTTTACATTGTCTTCTACCCCACTCTCTACATCTTGAGCATGGTGGCCTGTGTACAACCACAACTTTCTTTAGAAACCGAAACAGTAGGCCACGCTATCTATTTTCAGAAAGATGAAGACAAAGTCTCATCCCTTCTGCAAACTAAATGTCAAGTAAGACAGAATTACATTTAAGCACCATTCTAAAAGCAGGCTTTGTGTTTAATCTTGCCTCTCTCTTTGGGAAGCACAAGTTTATTCAAATGCTTCAAACCAGTGCAAACCTGATCCTGGATAACTTCTGAATGAGCTAAGTCTCCTAGAGAAGAGTGGCGAACAAAAGTCAGATTCTATTAAAATGCCCCCTTCCTCTCACAGCACTGTTTGTGCAGCCACGGCCAAGATGACACTCGGATGGCAGCATCTAAATATAAAACTCCCAAGCATGATATTGGCTTTACAAGAGAGGAAAGGGAAGAAAATAAAAGCGAAATCAACCATAACTGCTATTTTATCTTACAAATGTAAGATAAAAGACATCTTTCCTAGATTTTATGCTAAATATTTTAAATATAGCTGACAGTGGGCTTCAAGGAGGAGAAACAAATTATACTTATAACAGAATGTCAAAAAGGAATAAAAGCATCTTGAAAATAACATTCTAACCGCAGAGAGAACTCTGCATCTCTCAGAGCAGCTTAACAAAAATGTGGTGGCAAACTTACTTTATCAGATGTTTTAAAGACTAGAGGAGAGTTTACGGGGGTATGAGCAGGGGCCAGAAAACGAAATATTCAATCAAAACAGAAGTGGTCATGGTCTCACATCTTCAGGCTGGGGACTTGTGGCCTCGGTGACTTTGAGGCACCTGGGGCTGCTCCCCTCAGCCCCGAACTCACCCCTTTTCTTCCCCCATGAACAGTCAGTCATGCTAGTAGACCTTGAACCTGTTTCAGATGCTGGCAATTTGACCAGAACTTCCTATTCTGTTTCAAGTCAACAACATGCTCTTGATATTTTCGGGCAGTCCCTTCCTCCAGCCTCACAGACGAAATGTCTTTCTTTGTAGTATTTTTCTTTCTGCTTGTTTTTGTGGAGAAAAAAATTCACCTTTCTCTCATCCATTAACCCCACCGAGACCCTTACCTCATGCTTGTCAGGCGCGATGAAGTTCAGTTGGCAGTTGGAGTCGTACAAGATAGAGAAAGCAAGTTCAAGCACCTCCTGTAAGAGATGAGGGGAGCATTTAGGGAAAGTCGGTACTTTCTTTTGACAATTCCAAATGGCCGCAGTTGCACCTGATGCAAGATGATGGCTGGTGCAGACAGGGGGGCAATGAGGAGGCTGAATTCAGGGAGGGAGGGCCAGACTTCTCAAGGTTCACACCATGATGGCTTCCTTCCACTCAAGGGTCCTGATCTGCATGAACCATCTCTTTTAACTCCCAGAACATCCCACGTAGCAAGTATGATCATTCCCCTTTTCTGAGAGGAGGCTGAACGAAGTGGCATGCACGCTCCCAGGCCTCAGAGTTGCCAAGCAGGATGATGCCCCCCTCCTCAGCATCTCACGTTCGGGGAGACCATGATTAAAAGAGAAAAAGGAAAGCTCTTCCCAGGCAGAAGCCCTTGGTGGTTCAGTGGGAGGCTGCTCATCCCCACACCACCCCCAAAGTGGGAGACCCAGGTGGCTTCCCAGTCAACGCACTTCCCACTCAACTGCCAGTGGAGGTGGGTTATGACCCCTAACCAGGTGAACTAAGATGGACTAGGAGAAAAGGCCTGGCGATTTACTTCTGAAAAACCAGCCAGTGGAAATGTCATGGGTCACAATGGCCTAATCCAGTCTTTTATCCCACAGCAAACTGCATTTCTATGACTTGGAAGCTGCCTCAACAGACAACAGATAGATACTTCAAAGGTGTAAACCTTCCAAAACATAGAAGCTACACAAGAGCTAATGAGGTTTCTGGGTGAACCCATTATGTTTGAAAAGGTACATAGGCTAGAGGCTTTGACTTTGACCCATGACATGCCACAGAAAATTGGGTGGCGTGATTCCATATGAGTGGCCATCTATGGGATAACTCTTCTATCTTCCCATCTGGAGGAGAACGATGAAAACTGAGAACACATGGAAAGAATCAGTGCGTATACTAATGGACCACTCAGCCATCATCCTCCATGACCCTGAGACCAGAAGAACTAGATGGTACCTGGCTACCACAACCAACTGCTCTGAAAGGTATCGCGTTTAAAGGTCCTAGATAAAGTGAGAGAAAAACATATACCAACACTGTAGTCATAAGGGTGACCAGGATTACTGGTCAGAGAGACTGATGGGACCCCCGAGACCATGACCCTCCAGTTACTCTTCAGGGCTAGAACTAAACTCATTCCTGCGGCCCAATTGCCAACAGGAGACAGGTCTCCGGGGACAACCAGAACACCATGGAGGAACCTAGCTCTTCAAGTAATCAGCCATTTGGGGTAAAAACACAGCATTTCCCCAAGGAAATAGTCCAGGAGGGTTAGGAAAGGAGGAGGCCCGGAAACAGGGGACACTGGGATCAGTGCTGTTACAACGCAGGGTTTCCAAGGAATGAGAGGAAACAAACTGTACAACTGGCTGAATGTCAAACTGATGATCTGCTATACAGCTAGCCTCCACTTACAATACAAAGTTTTGTTTTGTTTTTAAAAGAGCATATGCCCCAGAAAAAGGATGGGAGGCAAAAAGCCGAGGTCAATGTCGCTGGACTTCAGAATTTCAGATGTGTTAAACACTTCTTCCGGAGGGAACTCGGAAGGCCCAGCATTCCTGCGTGCCTGTCAACCGTCAAGCTATTTTGGCTCTCACAGGGTTCGCCTGTCGGGATCACCTCCAGCTGTCCCCTCATTAAGAAGGAGCAGCTCTTGTTCTGAGGCTCCCTCTTCCACTCTCTCACCCTCCTTTGGCCTCCTTGCCCCGGCAGAAATAGAAACAAGGAAGGCAAGAATGCTGAGTCAGGGAGTGGGAGTTCTGAGAAAATTACCCCTCTCACCATTTCCCACTCCTTTTCTCCCTGGAGGCTTCATTCCGCCATTGTCCAAGAAGACTATTGTGAAAGCGGTAGCACACCCATGGGCTCACAAACACACATGCAGCTTTCCCATGAAGTCTAGCATCTGTGTGCATAATGAACAGGCCCTGGTGGTACTGTGCCATAAGGGTTGGACTCTTAACCATAAGGTCGGTAGTTCAAACACCTCGGCAGGAGAAAGATGAGGCTGTTTGTTCCTGAAACTATGTACAACCTTGGAAACCTATGGATAAAGATGAGGCCCTAAAGAGTTAGTCTTGGAAACCCATGGAGGCAGTTCTGTCCTGTCCTATAGGGTTGCTGTGAAAAATTGATGGCAGTGAGTTTGGGTTTTTGAAAGCTTAGATGGAGTTTCTATGAGTAGGAATCAATTCAATTCAATGACAGGGTTTTTAAAACTTAGAATTGAAATCGTCATGGGCCCTGCTAAAACCCTTTGCAATTAAGTTGAATTTGACTCATAGCCAAGCCTTATGTTTTAGAGGAGAACTGCACTCTATAGCGTTTTCAATGGGTATAACCTTACAGATGCATCACCAGGCCTTTCTCTGTGGTGCCGCTATGTGGATTTGAACCTCCAACCTTTTGATTAAGAGTGCAAATCATCTGCACCACCCAAGGATCATTATTGGCCCTGGCAATGGCACCATAAATTGGTATCATTCTTTTGAAAAAATTAGTAAGGAGATGCATCTCAAGAACTAGGGATTCCATTTCTTGGTGTTTTGCTACAAACAATTAAAAAAATGTCAAACCCCAAACCAAACTCACTGCCATCGAGTTGATGCGGACCCACAGTGAACCTACAGGACAGGCGAGAACCGCCCCTGTGAGCTTCTGAGACTATAAATCTTCATGGGAGTAGAAAGCACCATCTTTCACCTACAAAGCAGCTGGTGGTATCAAACTAGTATTTGTGCACACTGCAAGCCAAATATGTAACTACTATGCCACTAAGATTCCTAAGAATGCCAACGCTATATATTATCTAATCTATATGAACATAATATAAGAAACCAACTACATGCCATCTTCCTTTGAATAAGCTATTAAAAAATCACAAATTATCCATCCAGAGAAATCCATTTGGCCAGTCATTCAGCATGCTAATTATTAAGATATCATATCAAGTGAAACACAAAACCAAACCAAAGTCATTGCTATGGAGACGATTCCAACACATAGTGACCCTGTAGGGCACGGCAGACCTAACTGCCATGTGGGTTTCAGAGACCGTAACTCTGTACAAGAGTGAAAGGCCTCATCTTTCCCCTGTGGAGCCACTGCCGTTGAGGGTTTCAAACTGCTAATCTCTGGTTACCAACCCAACTCGTAACCCACTACACCACTAGGGCCGGCTGTCAAAGCACTCTATGTCTATGATCATAATGATGAATAATGGATATGAATATGTGAAATGAAAGTAATTCTGTTAAAGTTCCAGCATATGAAGTGACTATTTTCTTCTTTCCCCAAACTTTAAACGGTTGTCTTTTTCAAATGAAAAGTTATGCTCTAATGTCACAAACTCACAAAGTTGTTCTTAGATGAACAATGTTGACAGACATGATGATTTCTTTATCAATTTTAGTATCTTTCACTCCCTACAAAAATTCTTCTTCTTATGCTTGGGAGGATTGTTTGAGGAAGCCAGGAGAGAAAGGAGGGAATGGGTTAGCCTTCTGAATAACCAGTCAGTATAGGATGTAGGAGCCCTAGTGGCATAGTGGGTTCTGCACTGGACTGGGAATCACAAGGTCAGCAGTTCAGACCCACCAGTTGCACATGGAAGAAAAGTGAGGCTTTCTGTTCCCATAAAGATTTACAGCCTCAGAAGCCCAGGAAGCAGTTCTCCTCAGCCCTGTAGCTGTAAGTCTGATTCAACTCGAAGGAAGTAGGTAGGAGAGTTGTTAGTTATTAGGTGTGTTGAGTTGGTTCCAGCTCATAGTCACACTTAGTACAACAGAACGAAATCCTGCCTGGTCATGCACCAGGCCCTAGGGGTATAGTGATTCAACACTTACAGTCACTAAGAGGCTGGTCACCAATGGGAATCCATCACCTGCTCCTCAGGAGGAAGGCATAACAGGGTGCCTCCCCTACAGACTGATGCCCTTGGCAGTCCTACTCTGTCTAGGGGGATCACTATCAGTTGGCATAGACTTGAGGGCAGTGGGTTTGGTCTATTTTAGCAAATAAATTACAAGCTTGACTACTCACTAAAAGCTTGGAGTTTTAAATCTACCTAGAGGTGGCTTAATGGTTACACGTTGGACTGCTAGGCTGGCAGTTCGAAACCACCAGCTGCTTTGAGGGAGAAAGATGAGACTTTCTCCTCCCAGGTCACTATGAGTTAGAATCAACTTGATAGAAGGGAGTTGGACTTGGCTATGAGGTGCCTCGGGACAAAGGTCTGCAAACTGCCTCTGAGAAACCAGCCATTGGAAGAGCACCCCCCTGGGGCAGATTTCTAATATAGCACACATGGGAATGCCTTCCTGCACCCCCGCCACTCCCCCAAAAAGAACAATAAAACCCAACCACTGTTTACAGGTGACCTTCAGAGGCAAATACAGCAGGAAAAAGTGAGAATCATGAAGGACTTCAGAGCTAAGGACAACTGCTGCGTTGCTTAAGGTAATCATGTGGCTAATTATTCCCTTGTTAATGGCAGCTGGTGTGAACACCACCTGTGCCCAGGTACTTCCTACTGACGAGGTGCTGACGTCACCTGAGACCAGCGCATCCACACGGCTATCTGGGTGACAGGTTCTGTTCTGCAGAGTGTTGAGAGAAGGGAGGACATTGAAAGAGGGGATACAGACTTGACTTTGCCCTTCTATGGCACATAGCACACAAGACTTGAATGATCAGAACCGTCACAACCCAGGTTCCTGATAAACAGAGGCAGGAAATGGGAAAATCGTGAGAATGTCAATTGCACTTTAATTTCATCAAGGCTGCCTGGGAGGGGGTGGGAGGAATTAATTCTCTGCACCAGAGCTAAAAGGTGCTAGCACTTAAAATGGGTTTTATTGATGTTTCTGGCTTGCTGTCATTGAGCCCCCCCTCCCTACCCTCCCGTGAAGGTCGGCTCTTGTCAGGCAGGGAGGCTCTGGAGCCCGGCACAATGGCACTGCTC